TGGCACATTTCAACTGTCTCCAATACATTGTGGAGGAAAGTCTTAGAATCTTTATTGAACTAATTCATAAATGTAACAATGTGACACATTTTGAACTCTTCTTGAAATGTAAAAGGGAGATTATCTGCCAAATGTACTTAAAGAAATAAAAGAAACATCTAGGCTATTATGTACAAACAGAATGGGTAATAGGGCAAATTATATTTATCATTGATTAATCTGCTTTTTTAATTTATTTTTTTGATGGATTGATAGCCTTTAGAGAAAATGAGATTTTAGCAAATACCCGAAAAACATCAACTTAAGAACCCTCAAATTGACACATTCAAATATCTGTTGTATTAATTGCATGACGTGTATATATATATATTATATATATATATATATATATATATTATATTTATATTATAATATATAAAAGCAGCAAAATAAACAGAAATGTCTAAAAATTGCAACGAGCTCAGACTATAGCAACACATGTGCAGGTGTGAGTGGTCACTGTGAGCCAAGATGAACTAAAGCTTGTTTATTTGGCAGAAATTGTCACACAGTCAAGTTTAACTTACATGCAGAGATAACAGCTGGAGGGATGCCACATAGAAGGATCCACCGATTCCGATAAGTCTTGACCCTGAAGATTCAGTTAAATGACATGTATATAGTCCTTCATCATCTTCCTGAGCATTAGAAATAATCAGCTTTGAGGATAGATCTATTGTCAGTCTGTCAGAGGTTAAATTTGAAACAGTCACATTTCCTTTCATTGAATGAAAAAAAAAATCTGCCTTTGCTCCAGTTGATTTGTTTTGTATTTTCTCTGCTTGATGTGTTGCAAATAAAAATGACAGAGCCTCCCCTGGACACCTCTTCATCCGTGTGGACGACTTTTTGATCCGCTTAAATCAAAGAATGAAAAAACAATTAATACATATGCAACAGATACAAAACTTAGCCTTGAGAAAAGCATGCATTGCAAAAAAACAAAAGTTGTACTCTACCTGCAAAGACCCCGTGCATAAATAATAAGGAGAGCAGAGCTGCTTGGTTTGGATGAAACATGATGACCATAAGCCAGAGAAAAAGACAGACTGACAGTTCATCACCAATAAATATTTCTGTGAAAGAGTGGGCGAAGAGGAAGTGGGTTGTTGTTTTGAAGGAAATGATGTGTCACGTCAGCTGTGAACCACAGAGGTCATGGCTAACGTCTTTCAATAGTGTGAGAATGTGAAAAGTTCTCAAAGTTTATGAGATTAAAAAAGTGAAATCATAGCTTTGTTAAATGACCTGGTGCATTTACCAAGAGGAGCAGACAGCTTCTAGAATTATTTAGTGTTTTAATGAGTGAAAGAAATTATGTTTTTTTTTAAAGGAAACACTTCTGTGACCTAACATTTACAAATGCCCCCCCCCTCTCTCTCTCTCTCTCTCTCTCTCTAAAGAGATCCTCAACATGTTTTATTGCTAAAACAAAATCGAGTCAGCACATGGATCATCATTTTTTCATCAAAATGTGAGTCAGGTCGGGGGTCAATTCAATCAATCAATTTTTATTTGTATAGCTTCAACTCATAACAAGTGTTATCTTGAGACACTTTACAAAAGCAGGTAAAAGACTTACTCATTGTTATGTTACAAAGATCCGGTCTATCCATCATGAGCACTTTAGCAAAGCAGCAAAAGTTACAGTGGTAAGAAAAAACTTCTTATTAAAAGGCAGAAATCTTCAGACCGGATCTCCAGCTCATGATGAAACAGCCTTCACAGGCTAGACTGCGCCGGGCTTGGAAAGGGAAAGGGGAGAGATGGGATAAGATGCAGGAAGAGGGATAGGGAGCAAGGGGGTCGGGGGTTTCAACATTTTCTTGATAAAAAAATTCTATTACTATAAAAATAATATTATTGAGAACAAGGTCTTAAGTTTCCAATTTTCAACAAAAATACTGTACTTCAATTTTTTCACGTTCAAAGGCGGCTGCTGAACCTGAATCTGCTGAAAATTTGAGTCAGGTCGTTGCTCAACATTTTTACACCAAAATTTGAGGGGGGGGGGGGGTAAAATCATTTTGTCATCAAAACAAAAACATCTGACACAAATTGTCATGAAAACACGTCGAGCTGACCTGACTCAAATTTTCAGCAGATTCAGATTCAGGTTCAGCAGCCGCCTTTGAAAGTGAAAAAATTTGAAGTCTGGTATTTTTGTTGACAATTGGAAACTTAAGACTTTGTTCTCAATAATATGATTTTAATAGGAAAGTTGTTTTTCTCATAAATGTAGATATTTTACAACAAAACCCAGTTTTAACCACTGGAGGAATTATTTAAAATTCTAGAGTAAGTCAATGTAACATGAAAAAAAGACTTTCAAAAGCTTTCAATAAGATAAGATAATCCTTTACTCATATCGGAGAAATGTTCAGTGTTACAGCAGCAAAGAGCAAGGATAGCCAACAAAAAGAAACACAAGAAAAACCTATTATCAAATACATTTAACTTTTTTATACACAAAACAAATTAACTATACACACCAACCTGAAAAGATGAAGCTCATGTATCACAAACATGAATTCAATCTGCTAAACTCAAAGTACAACTCCATTGATGTCACTCAAGTAGCACTCGAGAATCAGTTTTGCAGAAGAAGACACCTGAGCATCACTGACCTCCTGATTAATTCTGAACCATCCAGACCCCTCAGGTGGTCTGGGACAGGTCTGCTCTCTGTCCCCAGAGTCAGAACCAAACATGGAGAAGCAGCGTTCAGTTTCTATGCTCCTTATATCTGGAACAAACTCCCAGAAAACTCTCAGCTCTTTTAAATCCAGGTTGAAGACTCACCTGTTTACAGCCTTTCATTAAACAGCTTTAATAAGATTTTAAACTTTAACTCTGCTCTGTAACTTTTAACTCTTTTTATATTTTTACTTTTTTTAATTTCAATTAATTTCATTTGAATTATTTTTATTTGAACATATTTTCAGATTTAATAATTTCAGTGATTTTTAAATGTTCTATTTTAATGTTTCTTTTCTTTCCTCTGTCATGATGCTTTTTGATGTGTGAATCACTTTGAATTACCTTGTTGTTGAAATGTGTGACATAAATAAACTCACCTTGCCTTAGGTTTGAAGCTGCTTAGAGACCTAGGAGGCCAGAAACTGCAGGAAGCGACCAAAGCTGCAGAGAGAAACAGCCAATGGCTATGGATGAAGATGCAAGACCTCTGCTGGGACCCAAAGTAGCAGTCCAGGTTGACATATAGGGGATGTTTTCTGGGACACCAGAGGGCGCTGTTGAGCCCTCCTGAGACGTCGTCAGCTCAACAACAAAAACACTGAGGAAGGAGAGTGCCCACTTGAAAACCCCTCTGTGTCTACATTCATCAGCAGGGTACTCTCTCTTACTAGGTGCTTGCACATGAAGGTTTTTTTTTTTTCTTTTGCTTCTCATCCAAAACATACATGAACACTTTTGATGGTAGTGTTTTGAATTGTTCACATCAGTGTGTATTGTTTTGGTTAAATGAATCAGTTTAGAGAAGAGGGGACATGGTTTTTAGCTTTGTTTCACTTTGTAAGACATTTGTAGAGTTTTCACAAAGTAGTTCACTCTTTTTTTTGTCTCTGAGGTGTTGAGAAATTGGGTGACAGTTTATGGAAATGTGTTTAAAAGTTTGGGGATAACTGCACTTTGAGATAGCCCTGTTGTAATTCAGTTATTTCAGGAGCTGCACGTTCCTTCTCCTTTCGGTCGTGTTTACTAGTTTGCAGCTTCCGGTTTGTTTTGGTGAGGCTGCTCCTATTGGCTGATAACAGTGTAACGTCATCGAACGGCACGTTTGGCAGTTGGTGCATTCAGGGTGTCAGGCACATCGGAAAAACGATACCCGAGTTGTAAAATGCACATGAACACCTGCTCAAGTCGGAACAACAACTCGGAAACTCGGAAAAGAAGGAGGTGCTCGTTTTGCCGACTTGACGTCACAATCGTCATCACATAGGCGGCAAAATGTTTTCTTTTTTAATGTTAACATAGGCTACTTTTTATTAATTCACGTAGGCCTATTGCACATCAACTTTAAATCTATATTTATATATATAAAACTTGTAAGCACCTGGTTTAAAACTGTAAAAATGAATTACATGTGTCACTTGTTTGTCTTTCATTTGAAAGACAGCTCAGTAGGCATCATAGATTGAGTTGAGCCTCTCCATGTACTCGCTCTTCCGCTTGTTATTTGTCCTCCTGTCTGTACCACTTTGCTGTTGAGGGATCTGCATGGGTTTTTTTTTTTTGGAAAAAAATAAAACAAAGTTGAGTGTTTTTTAAGCGTGATAAAAAAGAGAAAAGTTGTTTCTTAACAGATGACAGTTCTTCTGACCTCTCCAGCTGACTGCTGGTGAAACTGGTCCTGGACTGGGTTCTGGTCTGCTGTCTTGGCCTTACATTTCCTGCAGAAATTAAAACAGTTGCAATAATGAAAATCCACCTTATTGTACCTTTCTGTTGTTTCAAATGTTTTATTGGTATTATTAGTACACTTTGGATTAGTTTATCTGTTTTAAAGGCACCTCTGAGTTAGTCCACTTATAACTAGTTTGTTACTGTAGGTTTCCACTGAATGAAGCCGTATAGATTGATGCTACAAAAAATCCCCTCTTCTGTAATCCACATCCAAAACATCCACAGGACCATTAGATAAAAGTTTAAGTGTTTACTTTGACAAAAAAATAAACAAAAACAGATACAGAATTATCCAAATGATAAACAAGAGAGAAACAGAGAGAGGTCGAACGTGTGGCTTCACTCTCTGCTAGTCTCAACTAAACCCAATTAACTCCACAAACTCCTCTCTCCCCAGATCCAATGAACTTAAACTGTTTCAATTACAGGTGGCAAAGAACATGTCGTTTTCCACTCACAAGATATGTCAGAATCAGAATCAGAATCAGAATCAGAATCAGAATCAGAATCTGGGTTTATTGCCAAGTACATTTACACATACAAGGAATTTGACTTGGTGTATTGGTGCTAAACAATTAACAAGGAAATAAAGCAGAACTAAACAACTTAAATAATACAGAATAAGAAGATATTACAATATATAAAATAGAATTTAAAAATGTAAAATATTAAATATAAAAAACACAAAAGGTGTAATGTAGAAGCTGTGCAGTGGACTATGAGAACGTCTTGTGCATTCAAATGATCCATAAACATTTTTAATGTAAATATTGAATCACTGAATTTAGACAAACTATTGCATCCTGACTCCAATTTTAACACGAAGAGCATGAAGTAACACTGCTTTCGATTCCACTGTATGTCTGGCATATTTTGAAATTGAAAATAAAGTTGACTTTGACTTTGACTTGACTTTTTATCTGCAATAACCTGCATGTTTTTTTGTTTTTTTTAAAGATTTATTTTGGGCTTTTCGTGCCTTTAATGCAGAGACAGGACAGTGGATAGAGTCTGAAACCAGAGAGAGAGAGGACAGTGGATAGAGTCTGAAACCAGGGAGAGAGAGGACAGTGGATAGAGTCTGAAACCAGAGAGAGAGAGAGAGAGGACAGTGGATAGAGTCTGAAACCAGAGAGAGAGAGGACAGTGGATAGAGTCTGAAACCAGAGAGAGAGAGGACAGTGGATAGAGTCTGAAACCAGAGAGAGAGAGGACAGTGGATAGAGTCTGAAACCAGAGAGAGAGAGGACAGTGGATAGAGTCTGAAACCAGAGAGAGAGAGAGAGGACAGTGGATAGAGTCTGAAACCAGAGAGAGAGAGGACAGTGGATAGAGTCTGAAACCAGAGAGAGAGAGGACAGTGGATAGAGTCTGAAACCAGAGAGAGAGAGGACAGTGGATAGAGTCTGAAACCATTGAGAGAGAGAGACAGTGGATAGAGTCTGAAACCAGGGAGAGAGAGAGAGGACAGTGGATAGAGTCTGAAACCAGGGAGAGAGAGCGGGGAATGACATGCGGAGGGGGGCCACGGGTGGAGGCAAGCCCGGGCCTACCGCTCGAGACGAGAGTCTCAATACATGGGACGCGCGCCCTACCACTGCACCACCAGCACGCCCCGATAACTTGCATGTTTTAAACTAAGATTTACAAC